GCTAGTCTCTCATGGATGACCATTTTTGTGTACAGAGTTTTCTTGGTCATGGCCTTGATCCTTATAAACTTCTGTATATCTGGAATAGTAAATTTTTTGGTAATGGAAAGTTAGATATTACTTGAGTTTTAGATTTGAATTATTCAATTTGGAAATTAACTTAGTAAATTCCGAGCCTGGTGCATTTGTGGGACTCTCTCTCACGAGTGCACGGCGTCTGTCGCGCCGTGAAATTCGGGTTTTGGGGCGTGACAGATTTAGTGGTATCAGAGCTTAGGTTTGATTAAGACTTTGTGATGTGAGAGCCTAGGTTTAAGTGAATACCTAGGATATGTTTTGAACGTGGCTAGTTAATGGATTTAGAACCGTGGTGAGACGAGTGATGGGGTTATACAAGGGACGATTCTGATTTTTGTTGCCTGAATTTTCTGGTTTGCTTTGATGAGGTAGTAATTCAGTTAGTTCTTGTTATTTGCCGTTGGTGAGCATTTTTGGAATTAATCTTGCTCACCATGCTCTTAGGACCTTGTTTGAAGCTTGGTCCCTTGTGATAGTGTGCTTGTTTTGGTTGTGGCAGGATGTATAAGGCCTTCCACATTAGGTCTGTTTGTTTGAGTATTCATCGGGGCATTCATATGTGAATGCAAACATGGACATACATGAGCATATACACGCATACATGCATACACACATGGGCATTCATACATGCATGCATAAAGGCATTCATTCATACATGCATATGCATGCATTCATTCGTTCATGATTTTGTATATCCGAGTGATGTTTATTCGTCTCGGATAAGGTTCCATCTTTTAGTTGGACTCATCGTTAAATTCCTGGCCATGTTGTGTTTGATGAGTGCCAGGTCTTGATTTGAGTCAAGGGCACCACATAATCATGCCGATAACTCGAGTTTAATTACTTGTGTTAAGGCGTGAAGTTATCTCCCGCTTCCCAAATAGCCATTGGGGAGGGTGGAGATTGAGAAATTGTTATTGGCTTGTTAGGGCAGTGATGAGTATCCAGTCCTTGTAAAGTGAATCCGACTGTTGTATCTTGTAATTGTTAGCCGTGTGTCTTGAAATTGATTTCCTTGTGATAGTTGTGTTTGATATCAGAGTGGCGCAACGGAAGCGTAGTAGGCCATGTTCTGATCATAGAAAGTCGGTGAGGCATTCGTTTTGTCTTAGATTGTGTGGAGCCATTCACCAATCTAGATGATCCTAGATTTGAGTTTTGGGGACAAAACTCCTTTTTAGGAGGGGTGGATGTAATATCCCAAAATTTTCGGGTATTTTTGCATTAAATTGGGGACTTATTTGAGG